AACACACACACATCCTTATAAAATGTGGAATTATCATTTCAAAAAAGAGGCATAACAATATCTGCCCCTACACTCTGGGGTGAGGGTATCTTTAATTCTTTAATTGTTTTCACACCTAAAAGCTGTATAGAATTTTGACATAATCAGGAAAACACAGTAAAATAAGCTGCCACATGAACTATTACTGCAGGTAGCTAGCAAGATGTGTCACTCAGGTTGATTCTAAATGTGGAAAGCACATTAGCAGCAGTTGCTAATAAATTATTTCTGTTAGTAGAGGGATACCAATGTAACCCAGTGTTAGTTAGAATTAAATATTATGGTTCACTAAACAGTAGTACTTGGGTCTAAACAGGTATGACACTAAAATGTTGCTGTAATTGAATAGATGTGGTTTTGTTCATCACATTTGCTTTTTATGTTCTTTAAGAACAGCTTGTAACAGTTAAAAGTAAATTATCAGCATTTTGGCAATTCAGAGCTGGGGGACAGCAAAATAGAGGGTATTTTGGAAGTGTTCAGAAAATGGCTGCTTTTTGGTGGTATTACTGTACTGGAAGATTTCCTTTTGATAGTAGTTTGAGGAACAAGTACTTGGGGAATTTAGTAAATTTTAGAGTTTGAGAACAGGTTTGAGAAGTCATAGGAATAATTTAGGATGGCAGTAGCACACACTGAACTCCTGTTTTTCCATGTGGTATAAAGCAAATGTGTGGAGGAGCATGAGATTATTTAATGTCTTCTTTTTCAGTCTAGTGAAATGCCGAAACTGACAGAGCAGTTGGCAGGACCCCTTCGGCAGATGCAGGTAATCTCCCCCTTACAGACCTGTCTGAGCTTAGGCTTGACCTTAACACGAGTTAAGTGCATGAGGGAAGAAGCTTAACAAGCACTTAGCAAAGAGTTGATTTTGGGTCACCAGAGAATTTGGCTGGCACCGACTGCGTGTGGTTTTGCCATGTGTAATAACGGGTTATCATGTTTGCAGTTAAATCTATATGCTGATTTATAGCACACCCTTAAAAATTTTATAAGCTTGATTACTGCACTATTAAGTTGTTAGTGCAGGCAGTCTTAATAATGTAAACAGTCATCGATTCCTGATACTGGATAATTGCACACTGAATAGGAGTCCTCATCATGTATGCAGTACCTAGTAATACCAATAGCAAGCTGTTCTGTTGGTTAAACACATAATCTGTTTAAGCATATTATAAATTTGAAATACTTTCTTTTAAAGGAGTGTGCAAAAAGAATCGCCAAGGTGTCAGCAGAAGCAAAACTGGAAATTGATGAAGAAAATTATTTAAATTCTTTCAGACCCAACCTAATGGATGTTGTGTATACATGGGCAAATGGAGCTAACTTTGCTCACATCTGCAAAATGACTGATGTCTTTGAAGGTAAGTTTATTAGTTCTTCTTTAGAAGATGTGAGGTGATTCTGTAACATGGATTGGTAATTCTGAATAATAGATCATAGAATTTACTAACTGGGAGGTATTCAAGTATGTGCTGAAAGCAAGTGGGGAAAAATCTATTTACTGTATATGTTAGTTTTATAGTTACAGTGCTGATAAAACAGAATCTATAGACTACTTTTTAAAAGGGATATATCTACACAAAAAAAACTTCCAATAAAACTGAGAAATTGTAAGCATTGCAACAATAGGTTAACACCTTTGCTAGTTAAAGGGAAAAATACCAAGTTCCAAATGCTTTCCATTAGGAAATAAGCTCTGGCACTTTTACTTGGTTAATTGAAGTATTTCAGTACTTCAGGAGGTAAAATTCCTTCTGCTGTCTTAATGATGACAGAAGTGAGAGGTGGTGGTAACCAAGGTTCCATTTTGGGTGGTTCATCACAGCAGTTCAATGCAGAGTTTGAAGAACTGAGATGCAACCTATCACCTGGGTTACATGGGTTTCTAAAATTGGGAGTAGTAGAAACTGTTCCTTGAGGAAGGAAGCTTTGTTTTAATTATTTTAAAAGTAGGATGACATAAAGCCCAGATACTTTGTAAAATGACAAACCATTTACCTCAGGGTCAAACCAGAAGTAAAACCTAATGTCATTTTTTACCAGTTCTGTTGAAGTTGCGAAGAGCAGTAGAATGGGTGTACGAGCCTTGGAAGTCTGTGTGCAATGACTGACAGTTGAAAATTGAAGTAGTTGTTACTGTCACCATAGTCTTGTCTCCATCAAATGCTGTTTTCCTGTTCATACACAGAGAAAGGAATTAAGTGCTTCTGTAATCCAGTGCTAGATTCTGATAGACCCAGGAACTTTTGACAGGTTGCCTGCGAGCAGTAGGAATCCTGGCAGACTTGGAAGGCTGGTCAGTCAGCTTTACCCCAGTCAGCAGTGCTAGCAGCTCCCTCAAGATGAGATCCTATGGGCCTGTGTTAAGACGTTCAATTCTTCTGACAGGGGTGGGTGCATGATTCTTTCCTGAAGTGTCTGGTTCTCTGTGCATTGTCCAAAAGGAAGGAAAGCACTCAAGGAAAGCAGTCAGTTACACTTATCTTAAATGCAGTGTGGTGTTGCTAAATATCAGAGGAGTTTGCCCTGGATGGCCAAGTTGTTTGGCTAATGAAAATTAGTTGTCATTAAGATGAAAGGTATGTGTTGTGGGCTAGCTATCCTATTAATCATTTGTTTTGCAGAAGTAAATACAGCCAATAGTGATTTATTCCAAAAATGCTGTTCTTTTCATGGACAAAAATATTGTTTCTGCAGCAGCCCCAGCTGTGCTGCCTGTAAAGGAGTATTCCCTGGAATGGTTTAGGGTTGGCCTTGCAAATGGAGTCAAGCAGGACATTTGGGAGCTGAGCCAGGGCTGCCCCAGCACCCTACTCAGGGAAGTGGTTTGCAGTTCACTTCCTTTGGCTTCCTGCTTTTGTGTCCCACAGACACAAATAGATATTCAGGTTTTTTCACCTGATGTCCATGCAATAGGCTTTACAGACTGCTGCCCTCACACAAACTGTTCTTACTGTAGAAGCTTCACATGCCTAGTGGTACCATATTGATGATTTTTAGAAGAGAAGTGTTAATTTTATCTAATTTCTCATTTCCTCAACAGCTTTATACGTTTTTTTCACATGAACTTTTTTTTCTCCAGGTACTGTGTGTGCCTTGTCCAGAGCTAGTATTTCACTGAATCATAGAAAGGTCATCTAGTGCAACATCCCTGCAGTGATCTGACCTGGATTGTTTCCAGGGATGAGGCTTCTACCATCTCTCTGGGCAACCTGCTTCAGTGTTTCACCACTCACTGTAAAAAAATTCTTTCCTCTTTCAGTTTGAAACCATTACCCCTTGTCTTTTCACAACAGGCCATGCTAAAAAGTTTTTCCCATCTCTCTGTAAGGTATTCATGGAGCCTTCTCTTCCAGGCTGAACTACCCCAGCGCAGCCTTTCCACAGGGGAGGTGCTCCAGCCATCTGATCATTTCTGTGGCCCCCACAGATACACTGCAACAGGTCCCTGTTTTTCCTGAACCGTTTCCTGTTTTTCCAGAGGTGGATGCAGTACTCCAGGTGGACTCTCAGCAGAGTACCATGGAAGGGCAGAAGCACCTCCCTTGACCTCCTGGCCGTGCTCCTTTTGATGCAGCCCAGGCTTTCAGGGCTCATGAAAGGCCACATCCACTTTTTATCCACCAGTATCCCCATGTCTTTCTCCTCAGAGCTGCTCTTGATCCCTTCATCCCATGTATTTACTCTATGACAATTATTCTGTTTACAGTAATTTGGACTGTAGATATGAGATGACCACACAGCATGTTTGCATGCTGCTAGAGGAGCAAGGGCATTAGGGTAATTTTGTGAAACTTGTGACAGTAAGTTAGGCTGAGCTGAGAAGTCAGTGTGTAACAAGTGTGCATTAATGTGAGGATGTCAGTGAGTGGTCCACTGAATCATGAGTGGCAGAGTGCTAAGGTAGACCACCTCCTCCCTCACTGGCTCCGCCCATTAAAAAATAATGGCTATAAAAACAAAGTCTGTTGTTCTTGAAGCAGCAAACTTGTGAATCCCCCAAATCTGTACAGTTCTTGAGGGAAGTCTTAGCAAGTACTTGAAGGAAAAAATCTCATAGGAACTACTAAAAAGGCCAGGAAGTCCCCCGAGTAGGTATTAGTGAGAGGCTGTGAAAATAGTAGAAGAAAACAAGGACAGGACAGGCCTTTGGAGATAGCTTCAAGGAAATGCCTGATGTAGAAATTTACTGTTAAGCAGAAACCAAGCTTAAACCAGAATATCTTGAATATGGCTGTTCTTTCCATTGGCTTCTAGATAAATTCAACAGGGGTTGGAACAGGAACCATTGCTTTGGTCAAAAGTGGGCTCAAGCAACATGGTATGGCAGGTGATACAAAGTTTTCCCTCTCACCTTTTGCACAGGTAGCATAATACGTTGCATGAGAAGGCTGGAAGAATTGCTTCGGCAGATGTGCCAGGCTGCAAAAGCCATTGGAAACACAGAGCTGGAAAACAAGTTTGCAGAGGGTATGTATTTCACTTCCACAGTGCAAGAAGCAATTCTAGTGAGCCTGTGGAAGCTGTGGGGAGGGCAGGGGATGGCAGGCCAGAGCAGGCTCTGGAATGATTTGGGAACATAAGCTTTCTAGTATTGACTGCATGGACAGTAAGGCAGCAGCATCATTGCTGCCTTTCCAGAAAGCATCTGAGTTATAAAGTTTGACTTTAGGAGGTAGTGTTTCAATGCATACTGACAGTTAAACCAAGTTTGTGATTAAAAATGGATGTACAGTGACTTAATGTAAATCTTGGAATACTTTCTTAAAATAGGAATTGTGTCTGATATGACTGCTATATGCTAATTCAGTTTTTCTTTTTAATAGGGATTACAAAAATCAAGAGAGATATTGTGTTTGCTGCAAGCCTTTACCTGTAACAGAAGGTACCTTCTAAAAACAGTACTATGGAACAAGTTAATCAGCTTCACATGCTACTTCCATCTCAAGTCATTATGTCCTTTAATGGTGTGTATTTAAACCACAGTTGTTTCAACAAGGCATGTACAAACAGCAGTGTATGTAATATAACTGTTACCATGTTTTCAATAAAAATTTACAATTTGAATAACTTTTTTTGTTTTAAGCAAGAGCTTGAACCAACAAAATTAAACATTTAGCTATACAATAACTGTGGTAGCTGTTACTATATACAGGTAAAGTGAGCATACAAGAGCAGCAGCAGTCTCTTAAAGGCATTTACTTATATTACATAGTTAGACTTGTGAAATTGTTTCTCTTCCAGAGAGCAAGACAGGTGAGGTGAGTCATTCTTCATGGTTGATGATTGCTGCCAAAGTGGTTTCCATTTGTTGGAGTCTCATGCAGGGTTGTATGGGAATCTTCTTTTGGTTGAAATGTGCATCCTCTCACTTTGAAGAAGTCAGACACGTACACAACCTAAGTGAACAAATTACTGTTAAGTTCCTGCACTTGTAAAACCTTTGAAACAATGGGTAAATGCTTTTGTAGAAGGTACATTCCACTATCAAAACTAATAAGCATAAACAGATTAAAACACTAGAAAATGGCTAGAAAGTCTTGGATAAAATGCTTGTTCAATAATAACTGTTCTTCTCAAGTGCCACTCTCACTTGCATTTATTTAAAGCTGGTTAAAACCAAGCTTGCATTCCTCTCCTTGGCAGGGTTCACAGCAGCTTTTCCTCAATACCTGCATCTTAGCACAGCTCCAGCAGCTGGAAGGCTTCCTTTGAACATACCACCTCACTTCCTTACAGCTGCTAACTATGGAGACAGGTGCCTTGACCTACTTCTGCAGCTTGCTCTCCTGCTGCCCACTTCACCTGGTCATACTAATAGATATGCTGGGTGCAATACCACGTGAACTACCCCAAATTAGAAGCTGCCTTCTCATGATACCTTCCCTTCCAGCATCA